TAATGAGAAAGCCAAATGTAGAATGAAAGCCCATCACAAATAGCTTTTTCACAAGCTGAAGGGAAAACTAATATAAGGTGCACAGTGTCATGCACACATATACAAAACATCATAACAAACATGACACTAAAATAATGCAATAAACATTAATTTAATTACATAATATTTAATATAAAACCCTGCACTCTGGGAATGTAAATGTAATTTTTTTTTTTTCATTGTAAATGATAAGATTTGTTCTTTTTCACTTCCAATAAATAAATAAATTAATTAAACAGTACATTTAATAGTATTTTGCTGTAAAATTACATTAAACGTTCTGTTTTGTTAAACATAACATTCTCATTTTGTTTTGCAAAGTAGCATCACTTTAAAACGTGGCTTGATTTGTATCAAACCCTACTTATTGCTGGTTGTAATGAAAGGCAAATATATTTAATGCAAAATATCACTGCGAAATGAAATATCAGATAAATATATCACCTCTAATACCGTTTTAGGATAAACAAACTCCAAGCATTTTCTATTTTTATCTTCAAAGACTTTATAAAAATGTGACAAAATAGACATAATGTTGAGAAAACATTAATAGAATGACCTCAGGTCTATGGGCAAAATGCCTCTAAAACTGAACAAAGTAATAGAAATTTCAACTATCGATGTAACATACAGATTGAACCATTGCTTAACACAAACAACGTGTTCTCCTGTTATCAGTTGTGGCGTGTTCCTATTTGGTAGGTCGAATGTCCAGCAAAAATGTGAATGGAGTTTCCTCACATTGCAAACAGCATTTGTGTACATTTCCTGATGATGGTCACATGCAAAGAGATTGAGGATTTAAAACGGTGAAAACACTGAGATTCTCTCTGGGTGAAAGGTCTAACCCAAAAGAGAACAGAAAGCACACAAACACTCTTAAAGTTCATGAGCGAATACATGTTTGATAATTATTATATTACTGTGAAGAATCTCTTTCTCTATATCGTAACATAACAGCAATGCAAGCCTATTCTCACAAGAGCTAGAGACCTAAAACACAACCTTAGGTAAAAACAAATCACCTGTTGTTGTGGTCTTTAACCCTTTCCTCATTCAACCTCATGGCTCACCTCTGTGCAGGTTTGTGACAGATGCCACAGTGGCAGTGTTTGTAGCTGCCCTGCTCTTTGTTTTTCCCTCTAAACCACCTCGATTTTGCCACTGGAGAACACAGAGCTTTGACACAGGTCAGTGAAACACTTACCTCGCTGATGTCTTGTTAAATGATTAGACTAGATATTGGAAAAATCAACAGACATCTTTAGTGTATGTATATATATAGCTAATAAATAAATGCAATAAATATGACTGTGGTCTATAGTGCCCCAGCAGGAAAGTGGCCATACTCCAACTTTGCTGACATGGAAGGTGACACAGCAGAAGATGCCATGGAGCATTATCCTCCTGCTAGGGGGAGGCTTTGCCCTGGCTAAGGGCAGCGAGGTACAACAAATATATTTTTGGGTATTTGTTTTTTTCATACAAAAGGTCAGCTTCAATCGTCATACTTTCTGTTTTGTTGGGTCAATGCTCAGGTCTCAGGTCTGTCAAAATGGCTTGGAGATCAGATGTCACCTCTTCAAAGTATTCCTCCCTGGGCGATTGCCATTGTCGTGTGTCTGATGATAGCTACCTTCACTGAATGCACCAGCAATGTTGCCACAGCAACATTATTTCTGCCTATACTCGCATCTATGGTATGTATACTTCTAACATTTACCATGACTTGCATGCTCCTTGTACACTGTCACAAGAAGGTGCACACAGTCAATAAAGGGGGGGGTTTGTATTTATTATATGTATTATAAGAGAGTTTGTATTTATTCCTCTTACTTCTTTTCCACAACAATATTAGGCAGAAGAACTAAAAACTGATAATAATACAAAATGTGTCTTGCAGCAAATCAGCATATTAGAATGATTTCTGAAGGATCATGACACTGAAAACACATGATGAGTATTGGCAGCTAAAATTTCAGCTTTGCCATTGCAGGAATAAATTACACTTGCATAAATTACATAAAATACATTCAATTTAAATACAACAGTAAATTCAAAAATATTTACAAAATATTAAACAAAGTTTAAGCTAGATTTTGAATCCCATATTACAATGTGGTCTCAGGCTTTTGGACATCACTGCAAATTTGTGTGACACCTTCATTTTAGTGTCCAGTGTTTATATATGAATTACTGATTCAGTTATTTTATTAAAGATTGTCAACATGGTTTCATGTTGTTTCAGCAATAGTGAGACAAATTCTCACTGATTTCACGTTACATTCACATTGATTTTTAAAAGGAATGAAAGATTTATTAGTTTATCTGACATCAGTATTATACTAGACACATAAAAACAAGTTGCGTAATTGTGAAAAGGGTTTTCACACATTTATTTATAAGCACAACTTCTTCCTCCATTAATCTCTCACTGGGTTGCACCTCTCTTGCTATGCAGAGTTGACACATCCTGCCCTCTTCTCATTAATTAGCCTATGCAAGGGAGCCTGTGAATGGAGGGATTTGTAGGGAGCTAAAGCTGAAGTGGCTCATATGGGAGAACCATGGAGATGTGCCATTGTTGTCTGGTTGAGGGAGGAAGAATGAGAAAGAACAGGCATTGGGGGAGGGGGGCTTTTAACTTCATTCGCTAATTCATCCATTGCTGGAGGCAGATAAACAGACACTTTTGTATGTGCCAGGGACGTCCATTCCTCCCTCTGTTACCTGTAACACAATTGAGCTTTGAGAACTTTGTGTCAGCTTTGAGTCAGATCACTGTAGAAAGTAGAAAGTTTTAAAGATGTTTTGAAAATGTAAAAAAAAAAAAAAAGAAAGTAAAAAAAAAAGAAAGAAAGAAAAGAAAATTAAAATCTCTGAATATTTACTTACCCTCAGGCCATCCAAGATGTAGATGAGTTCATCATCAGAACAGATTTGGTGAAATTTAGCATTACATCAGTTGCTCACCAATAAATCCTCTGCAGTGAATGGGTGCCGTCAGAATGTCAAACAGCTGATAAAAGCATCACAATAATCCACAAGTAATCAACAAGACACCGATCTATCAATAAACATTTTGTGGAGTGAAAAGCTGTGTCAATCAGGACGTTTTTAACTCTATACATAATACTAGCTTTTTCATTGAAAAAGTTGCGTTGATTATTGTGAGGCTTTTATCAGCTGTTTGGACTCTTATTCTGTCGGCATCCATTCAGTACAGTGGATCCATTGGTGAGCAAGTGATGCAATGCTAAATTTCTTCAAATCTTTTCCAATTAAGAAAGAAACTCATAAAAAAAAAATATATATATATATATCTTTAAATTCACTTCAATATATAGTATGTTTCAATAAAAGAAGCTGGTTTAACAGTATATTGTTTTGTTTTATTAGTCCCAGTCTATAGGTGTCAATCCTCTGTATGTTATGATCCCCTGCACCCTCAGTGCATCTTTTGCCTTCATGCTACCTGTGGCCACCCCTCCGAATGCCATAGTCTTCTCATATGGATACCTGAAAGTATCTGACATGGTGAGTGTTAATAAATAGTCTTTAATAATATGAACGGGCACCCTATTGGGAATTATTAAATCCAAAATGCAAAGTGAAATGTATAGACATAGATTTAGATGCACTATACAGCTTTATAAAAATGGATCTCATCAAAAAAAAAAAAAAAACTGAAGAATTTAATTGATATGTAGACCTTGAAATAATAAAAGCACTGACTTATTTACTTTCATAAAGTTGGTTATCCAAATTATCATTTTTATCTGCAGGCCAAGACAGGGATTGTCATGAATATCATCGGCATCCTCTCCATTACCTTGGCCATTAACAGCTGGGGCAGGGCTATCTTCAGTTTAGACACCTTTCCCAGCTGGGCAAACACTACAGAAGTGTGAGAGGCTGAATCCTACGATCAGTCTGTTGTCAAACTGCACCATTCAGCACTATTCTCACCATGTTTCCAACCGAGGATGCCAGACAGGGTCAGAGCCAGTGGCTAGTTTCACTGGAGATGATAGTGTGTTATCACTTGTACTGTGATTGTGCAGTTCAGTTGTTGTTTATTGATGTAAATGTGTAAACAGTTCATAAAAATGCTATAATAAAGTTGCTTCAAAAGCAGCTTTAGAGGTATATAAGTGTAAAGCCAAAAGGCTAAAATCATATAGATACCATGCAGATTTTTAAGCACAAATATGCATATACAGTACCTCTAAACAGTGGACAGCTGTGTACACCTTTGACATGCAGGGCAGTTTGAACAGAATAGTGTAATCATGTACAGTTCAAGATTAATTAAAACTCTCACTATTGCAATGTACAATGTAAATTAAAATAATGTATTTTGTTCCTATTCCTACTAATAAATACACTCGTATTGTTATTTCACCTGTAGCATGTAGCCAATATTAAATCAGTACACTTTGTGTGTGAGTGTCTCTCTCTCTCTCTCCCTGTGTGTGTGAGTGTGTGAGTGTGTGAGTGAGTATGTGAGTGTGTGAGTGTGTGTGTGTGTGTGTGTGTGTGTGTGAGTAAGAGTGTGTGTGTGGGGTACACTATGTAAAGGACAGCTTTAAAAGAATATTGTTTCCTGACATTTGCACACATCTGAACAAATTAAAACGTAGGAGAAGTCTAGGTAAGACTAAATGTGCATTTACAGATACATTTAAATATTTAGATGGTTAGCATGTAGAAGATTATGATGTTTCACAGTAGAAAAGGAAACATACTTTCTGTTATTTTATTATTCTGTTCATTTCTAAAAGGACGGAAAGCTTCTGTTATTTTATTTTATTGAGAAAAAAAATATTGTAATTTATGTAAAAATATTAAATCTAATATTATATAGCCTATACAAATAAGGGAAGTTTTAAAAAATAAACTTAATTAAACGTAATAATATTGAATAAATTGTAATAAAAAGTATAATAACTAAAAAGATATTACAGCAAATATTGATGTCCAGATAAAGATATACGCCTATTGAAATTATAAAATGCATATAATTTTATAAATGTGCTGAAATGAGATTTAGTGACTTCCATGGTCAAGAGAAAACATTAAAGGTTGGGGAATATCTTAACCTACGTTTCACGTTCAGCTTATTTCAAACATGTTTACTAATAAATACAGTAGTGAGTGCACAGATATGACACACAACGACGGAAAGTGATAATGTCGTAAAACACTTTTACGACACCAGCACTGGTTTTCTGGCAAATATGACGGCACCGTAGATCTCTTCAAACAAAACGAAATATGTTGTCTCCGTAATCTTGTACATGCATTTAAATATCAAACATTTTCTAGCTGTTACAATATCGTTTTCTCTCTTGTCATCTGCCATGGCTGGCGTTATGGAAACAGGTTTGTAATTTGTTGATAGTGACTGTAAACGTGTTGTTTTCCTAATGTTCGCCCGCAAACACAACGATAAGACAGTTGTTTTGGTAAACGAAGAACGTTACGGTTTTGATTTGATGGTGTGAGGTAATAAAACGTATACGTATTACTGTATGTATTATGTTAAATATAATTTACTTATATTAACTTATTAATTAAATTAATAAGGGGCTGTCCCGAAATATATTGCATATATATATATATTGCAAATATATTGCATTTCGTTCAAGCAATGTTATTTTAAATAAAAAGCGTTGATAACCCTCAAAATTCATACTTTCACAGAGGAGCAGGCAAGACACCGTTTCCAGCTTGAGTTGGAGTTTGTTCAGTGCCTAGCGAACCCAAACTACCTGAACTGTACGAGCAAAAATGACAGTTTTTATTATTTGCTTATTTTAAATACTTGGTTACAGTAATACAGATATGGAAATAATTCAGGCATTTCAGTTTGAATAACTAAATTCATATTAAACATGTTATTTCTATTGTTAAATTTAGAAGATTGGTCTTGTGTGTTTTCACAAAAATATCCTGTTTTTCATTCTGCAGTTTTGGCTCAAAGAGGTTACCTGAGAGAGAAGCCTTTTGTCAATTACTTAAAGTATCTACTTTACTGGAAAGAACCAGAATATGCTAAATTCCTGAAGTAAGTTAATGTTTTACTTTTTTTATTATTATTTATTTAATCTTAGTTACATGTTATTTTGTAAACTCATGTCATGTGAAAATTAATAAAAATGAGCATATATTTATTATATAATCTTATATGCTAGACCTCAGCTGGCTAAAGATGTTCAGACATTATTCAGTAAATTAATTTTCATCGTACAGTGATTGTCATATTACACTTCTGGACAATGCAGTCTAAATCTTTTATTTCCTTAGATATCCTCATTGTCTGCACATGTTAGAGCTATTGCAGTATGAGCATTTCCGAAAGGAGCTGGTGAATGCGCAGTGTGCCAAGTTCATAGATGAACAGCAGATCCTGCACTGGCAGCATTACTCACGGAAGCGGACACGCTTGCAGCAAGCGCTTGCGGAGCAGCAGCAGCAGCAACAGCAGACACAGGCTCCATCCCATGGCAACACCACATCCAAATGAAGCAGTCAACATGCTCCTGCTGGGAATTATTCTTTCACAAAAGCTTTTTTTGTAAAAAGTCATTTTCAAATGGGCTTTTTCCAAATTTTAAATAGGACTTGGACTTTTAGACTGCTCTCTGTAGGCCCATAATGCTGTGTGTGTTTATGAACAACAGGAGAGAAAGGTAAAAGAGCTTCTAAGAAGGTAAGAGGGGAGTGATTAGATAGCTGTCTTACAGTTGGTTTTGCATTGTAAAAGAAATCACACTTATGAACTGAAATGTATTTCAATTCTGCACCAAACTTTGTTTCTTTATTACTTTATTACTATATTCTTTATATATGATATTTGTATTATGTTTCTGTGTGCATTTTAGACAAAAATGGAAACCCAATAAAGAAAAATAAGGCAATTTTTGAAGCCAAGAATTCTATTGCATTACTTCGTCTAAATAAATTTGAATCTATATATGATGAAAACATTTAAATATGGGGGGAAAACACATTTGTTTCCACTGTCTGAACATCTTTACACCGTGGAATCAAAGAAAATGAGGAAGCTGACTCTGCTGCAAAAGAAGCATTATTGGCAGACCTCGAAATTTGTGCAGTACCTCCTATGGATTTAAAACCAATAATTCGTTCCTATGTTAATAACAAAAGACGAACAGAGTGTGATCTATATGTAATGAATAAACTCCATGAAATTATACCCAATGTTGGAAAAATACATTTCTATCAATTTTCCAATCGATGGGACCAGATTATTTATACCTGCTGTAGAATCGGTCATTCCAGGGGCCCGTTCTTCGTACCTCGCTTAATACATCTGAGATTATTTGAAAGATTCCAGATCTAGTAATCGTGATAACTGATCTCTGGCTATTTTGGTTCTTCAAACGAATTTGCAGATCTGATTAAAATATCTGGATTAAGTTGTCTAAGATTACTGCGCGTTCTCATGATCCCCGTAAAGGGCAGATGTATCAATACTCGAAACCACGATCAGCAATGCAGCGATTGGCTGGCGGCAAGACAGCAACGTAATGACATATAATTTAAAAAGACCTGACGAAAAGCTTGACACATTTCTGGACTTTTATAAGGAAACAGCCAAGTGAACAAAACGTAAATGTTATAATAGATATATGAAATGTGCACTGTTTTTATTTTAGTTTTTTTACATGATTGCCAATTATTTATATTCACGATTACTAGTATTTGTACAGGCTTTACATTTTTAGTTCAATGTTGTAATTAGCAATTCATGTAATTTTATCTTTGAAGCAGATTTGTTATGTGACAGCATTAATTAAAGTTTCTTAAGGGTCAAGATCAAGTTATCTGCATTTCCTGCGCTCCATCAAGCCACTCCCATAATAGCTGTTATCGCTCAAATTAATGTAACTGTACAGCATGTGTGTAAGACTTATAGAGTTATGTTATCACAAATAAATCTTTCAATGCGTAAAACTGGCTGTGTCTATAGTATTATAGATTACACAACATTATAATATTATTTTCAAATTAATTTTTAAATTATTTTTATTTTAAATGATTGTCCCCGGATTAGTAGGGTACTCTTGTAATAAGGTAGCAGTGGCTGGAATAGATTTAAAATATCAGCTCCACTTAAAAAGATGCAATCTAATCCTGTTTACATGCAATAAACCTGCTCCCGAGCAGGTTTAAGTTTATGGGCCTGTTGCTATGACAGCAACTCCGGGATGAGCTTCGAAGAACCAAATAATACAAGATCATGCCAAATCGTCAACAATCAAATCCAGCTAACTGAGTTAGCGACGTACGAAGAACGGGCCCCAGGATGACACATTCGTTTTTAAAACTAGAAGATCCTCCAAACATGTTGCCTCTGCCAAAACCCTTTATCCATGAAGCATGTTTTATTACATTGTGTTGGTTTTAACTCTGTGAGAAAACATTTGAACTCTTTTGAAGAGATTTTTAACAGAGTTAAGCCAAATACAGGTTTAGAGTTTTTTTTAGCAAAAATAAATTGTAAAAACATGATATAATTCAGCCTTTTTTTTTTTTGGCCATGAAAATAGCCACAGAAGCTGGCATGGTGTTAAACACAAACAAATAATCTTAAAGGGGTCCTATTATGCTTTTTCACTTTTTTAATTTTAGTCAGTGTGTAGTGTGTATGTTTGCGCCGCCGGTGTGCCTACACTCATAGAAAATAATGTATTTGAATTTTAAAGACGTGGCGCGACCCGAATCTGCGCTTCTCGTCCGGTGTGCAGCCGCCTGAAATGCTGTTTTTTTCACCTCCATGCCCAAACGACTTTGTTTGGGCTTCCAAAAGCAGATGATGTCAGGAAACAGTGGTTGCAATTTATTTTTTAACTCTGTTCCCGAGCATTATAACCCCAATTTGCTATTGTGTGCTGCGCATTTTACTGAGGACAGCTTCCACAACACGAGGGAGT